TACTCTCGGGAGAGTCTGATCCTGCAGCCCATACTCACATGAGGAATCTCTTTTGACTTCCAGAAGACTATTAATAATACATGGTGTGCTGTCTTCTCAAACATCAATGCTGCAGGATCAGACCAGAGGCATGGTGAGACTGTTGTGGCCTTTTAAAATGCAGGGATTTTTTTTTTTAACCCTGCTTACTTGAGATTTTATATCCATGGTCATTTGGCAAGTTGCACTACACTAACAGCCAACAATTCACTACTGGATGTTGGAGATTCATTTGCATTGACATGCAGAGGCCCTGAATGTTTTTCATCTCTGCAACTTTTTGCTGTATTCCCATTCTTTCTCCCTGAACACATCCCCCTGTTTGCATAGTGAGAGGCATTTGATCAAGCCTGGACCCGTGGGAATGCCCTCAACTTCCAATGTCTCCAGTGGGAATTATGGCACTCAGCATTCCCTTGTTTAAGAAACCTTTTAAATGCTTCTAGCAGTAACTGCGGGTGAGGTTTCAATAAAACTCTAGACTTCAGTACTAGTGGATTTTCATAAATATGTCAGCATTCCCCTAGTGGCACACCAGCACATTGAATTCTGAAAATGAAGCCTCTGCTTTTTGAGCCTACGTTGCACCACCTTGTATGTGTGTGTCTGTTTTGTTTCCATCCTAGACCTACTCAGTTGTTTGCCAGGGATCCTTAAATGCTTTTGCAAATCAACGGTGCTTCTTGCAGCTGTTCCCTTCCCCACAGTCCCCGCTCTTTCCCTCAGAGATTGCAAGGGAAGAACTAAGTAGTGAAGTATTCTGTTTTATATCACAGCTTCTACTTAGTTTATTTTCACCCATCCCGGGAAATGCTCAGGAGCACTTACCCGATATCCTGCAGCTGTTGTCACCTCACTCTAGATTAAAGGGGAGCCTTCTAAATTCAGTGGGATCTGGAGGCACCAGCCATAACCTACAAAGGTTGCTCAAGGTAAAGCTAAACTCTGATGTGTAGTTCTTACTTTTGCTGTGTGTTTATGTACCGTTTGGAGAGTCTTTCCCCCCCCCCCTCCCCCCCCCATCCCAACATGAGGTTGGTTTTTGTGGAGAAAAGGAGGTAATTGGTCCCTTTTCTCCCTCATGTATCATGCCTGGCCACATACCATTGTGGTGCCTAACAGCTGACCTCCAGCGTATACCTTTAAATTCACCTGGGAAATTGGTCCCTTCATTTGACATGAAAAATGGTTGGTGATGTTGGTTCGGTGCTATTTCTCATGACTATTAAATGGCAACAGTAGGATTAGAAAGTACTCTGAAAAAAGTACCAGGTTTATGACTTGTTCTGGCCAAAAAGCATATATGCCATGAACCCATTTTAGCTATTTGTGCAGACTTTTAGGTGCATTTTTTTTGTATTGTTCTGTGCATATGCTTCTCCCTTAAAATAAGTCATGCGGTGTTAGTCTCTGAAACCAGAAATATCTGAACCTAAAATCAGCCAGATGGATTTTTCCATAGGTTAGGTAATAATGACTAACAGGCTGAGTCTTCAATAAAATTCTGCCTGACTCAAGTTTTATGGTCAAGTTATAAAACCAAAGAAATGTTACCATGAATGTTATCAGCTTTTGATAGAAGGGGAAGACTGCTCTGGTGGGAAAGGGATATCGATTGAAATGAAGGCCCTGATGCAGCCCTTAATCTGTGAGCCACTGGTTTGCAGAGCCTTTCCTGGTGGTCCACAACATGGAAAACGTTTTGAGAGCTGGGCAGGAAAGTGGGTCTGTGAAAAGAGTCTTCTCTTGCAAAGTTGTCTGCAGAATGAAAATGTAGGGGAGCTGTGCTCCTGATGTACGATCCTCTCTTTCATCCAGGTAAATGTGGAACACAAAAAGAGTTTTCCTGCTCACGAGGAGCAAAATGTGACTAGTTTGAGAAAATCAGTGCAAGTGACGGAGATTAAAAGAGACTGCTCAGAAGCTGAGAACACGCACGCCTCCGTCCCGGAGTCTGCCTTTCTCATTTCTGAGAAATGCAACCTTTTGAAAAGGAAGTGCTGCTCTGAAGACATGAGAAGTGCTGAGGTGCCCTGCAAGCGCACAAAGAAAGGTAACCTGTTTCATTCAGTGAGGGCCTACTCCTGTTTTCATGAAGTTGATGGGAGTTTTGCCTGACTAGACAGCTCCAATCGTGGACTTCAGTTTTCATCTCTCCCCTATTTCTGTTCCCCCTGTAAAAAATAATTACACTAATAAATCTAGAGAGGGACAAAAAAGATTAGGCCAAGCCTTTGTTTACCAGCTGAGCGGTGAGTCTCGTGACAACTACCAGTGCCGTATATGGTTGATAACAGTAATATAATCAAGTTTTAAAATGCCTGACTTGCTGTATTTGTAAGGCACAGATGCAGGAATTACTTTTTTTTCCTAACATCACCAAGATCATGGAAGCCCTTGGTCTGATTTTCCTGCTGTTCAATGGATTTGGATTGATTTAACAGGAACATCTGGCCCTTTCGCATGCTTCTAACGCTGAGTGTGGGGTTGTGGCCACACTCTGTCAACACAGGACCGAATTCCACTGAGGCTAATGGAGTCAGGCCCACTTATGCCAAGATTAACTTGTGCAGCAAATTCCATTTCATGATTCTAACATTTCAAAAATTGCTTATAAATAAATGCAGTCCTTGATCACAGTACAGTTAAAAATCAGATGTATTTGCAAACACATAATAAAGCATTGTCTCTGAAATGTTAAGCGGTTCCCCCCACTGTCTGGTTATGTATTCTAATACAACTTTTTTTTCACAATTATATAATAGGCACAATAGATGCCAGGGGATCTAATGCTGGGCACCACATTTCATTTGAATTTGTGGATCCATCTGACCTGGACTGCTCTTTGTGCATGAGGTAGCCATTATTTTCTCATGGATATGTTTAAAGCTATATCTCTTCCACTAATATGATCTACAAACATTGTCTAATTTACTTGGCTATTTGTTTTTCTGGTTTGGAAACTGGGGCTTTCTGTATAACATTGTGTCCCATACCATGCACACTTCTAATTATTTGGTTCTGAAAAGTTTGTGGATAGGGATCTTCTGATGTATCCCAGGTAAGAAATAATTTGTGCTTGGCAAAGGACATCCAAGTTTATTGGGTTTAAATGCACTGTGGAACATGACTGAAAGATTTCCTTTTACCAGATGCACAGACTCCCCCACGTATTACACACAAGTCCACCACTCATTCTTGGCAGTTAGTGTAAATTAAGCCACAAGAGATTTTTTTTCCCACTAACAGAAATATTTGACAAGTAAATGTCTGTATAAATACTTAGTTTGCACATAAATTAGTGTAGTGTAGCAACAGCAATATTAAGGTCTTCCAGGCAAACAAAGCTCTCTAGTCAGTGGTTGATTGGCTCGTTTTGCAGAGGTGGGAACACCTTGGCCTCAAAAAATAAATAAATAAATAAATAAAAATAAAAAATAAAAAAATCTGGATTTAGGGTTGGGTTTTCTTGTTTGAAAAGGTAGTTGCCTATGCTTAAAACTGTTTCAAAACAAATTGAAATAGCCTTAAAAAAGATGTGGTGAAACTGTTGATTTTCTGCTTGGAACAAACTGTTAAAAGCAAAAGGTGATCAGAAGTCTAGGATGTAGCCTAAGACATGTGCTCCAAAACCTTTACTGTTGCCAAGAAAACACCTCCACTTCTTCACCCCCACCCCCAGTTCCCCATATAAATAAAACTGTGAGGTTTTCTACAAACTAGTTTTCAGACACATTTAGTAGAATGAATTAGTCCTGCTTATTTGTATTCCCTGTTAAACCAAAAATAGCCTGAATCATTACTCCTGAGCATTAAGACAACTTGAATATAAAAACCTATGTCAAAAAGGAACCTGTTTGAGGGCCTTTTTCTTCCCAGTGCTATAATGCATGTTGGTTTCAATGGTTATTATGTGTTGTGCAACTCAGATATACCTTATCTAAGATTTGGCAACTGTGATACCTTGGATTAAATGCCTACTAACCTACTGACCTATTAACCAATTAACTGCAGGAGCTATTATTAGCCTATTTAATTTGCCCAAGTAGCAAAGGGGTTGCATCCAATTCAGTGGCATACAAAAAGCAGAGGCAAAAGTAAGGGAGTCTCTCATGAAGGAGTAAGCATTTGGTTGCTGCTGTATTCATAAGCCTTTCCATATGATATACCTACCACTGGTTTGTGCGGTTCAATCCCGCTCTGACAGCAAAACTCCACTCCCATTAGCTGCTGTAAGAACTAGATCAGGACGGTGTATTCTGACAAGCATTTTCCTGTTCTGTGCCATCATGTGAAGCTAGGTTGGTCCAAGTACATAACTAAGATATTTAAATATGCAAACATACTAACTGAAAGGTATTTTAGAATTTGGCATTTTAAGTATTTACAAGAAGTGGGTATTTGTTAAAAAATTGACCTAGAGGAGATTTGGATTATATAACTGACTAGCAACAAGATTGCTGTGGCCTTTTGGATACTTTTTCATATGCTTCCCTGTTAAATGTCAGTATCTATAGCAGCTAATGAGAGGTGATGAACTGGTTATGACCTTTTTTGTTGAGCTAATTATTTTCTTAAACGTACTTTGTGTGATGAAGCAATTAATAAGCTTAAAGTTATGAGTATAGCTTCCACACACACAGTAGCAACCAGGTTTACCTCTGTGGGAAAAGAAAACAATTATTGTGGTTTAAGAAGTGACTTCACTATATCAGTTGAATTATTTTTTTTGTCCAACTGAGTTGCTTGTTAGGATATAACATTTAGAGTGGCTTTTGGTTCGTTATGCTTTTCCTATTTGATTTTTAAATCAAAGGGAAAGGTTGGGAAATATCTCCCTTTTTAGTTTGAGATGTTATTGATATACAGAAGAGAAATCTTTGTAACATTTCTTCATATTTTTCATACTTGGATGCTTGTTACCTGCAAAGGATCTCTTTAGAGTATATAACATAAATTTAGTGAAAAAGAGAGTTAATTTAATATGAAAATAAAATTACAGTGAAACTGATGGGAGTTAAAATCCTAAATAGCTTTTTAAAAACAAGGGCCTACATGTATAGTATTGTTTTGAAGGGATATGAATCTATTGGGTATTTACCTTTGAGGGCATTCAAAGGTAAAAGCTCTGTATTCAAACCAAATTAAATTTCCCAATATTAGATTTAGCAATGACATTTTTTATTTTATTAAATTGTATGTCCTAGCAGTACAAACAGTCCTGTTCTGTGTTTGGTTGGGTATGTAAAGCTAATCTTGCTGCCGACTGAATGAGTAATGGTTTTCAGAATCGGGGCCTTATGTTTAATTCTTCCTTTGAAGGTCCTCTCCTCTACTGACTCTCCTCACCCTCGACACACAAACTGAAATTCTGGGCTTGCTGAGATAAGTGTCAAATTTTCCACCGACTTCAGCAAAGCCAGGATTTCAGCCACCCCCTTCCACACTGGGCAGGCAACAGGGAACTCCCTAGTTAACTACATTCAAAATTCAAGGTGGGGAGAAAACAATAAGCAAGGAACAAATGTCCCCCAGCAGTGCAGAAAACTGTAACTACTGACTAGCTATGAAAAAAAGCTGTTTTGTAACAGCCTTTTCTCTTATTTTTGCTACACGATATTGTTGTCTTTTGTTTTTGGTTGTTCGGTTCCAGGCTTTTCTATGAACCTGTCACCACGCCCTGTGGACATACCTTCTGCCTGAAATGTCTTGAAAGATGCCTAGATCACAACCCAAAATGCCCCCTGTGCAAAGAAGGCCTTTCTGAGGTAACAGCCTACAGATGTAATTGGTATAAATTGCAAAGAACAGATAAGGTGGGACAGACTTACTAAGCGCACGCCACCGCCACTTCCTCAGTGCTGGCATGCATTTCACCACCTATACAATTAAGCGTTGCAGTGCCAGGTGCTTTTCAAAGCACCCGGCACTGCAGTGATTTGCATGTGTTAAAATGCCCACTAAGTGTACAGGAAGGTCACTGCGGGTTTTAAGTAGGTCACAAGGAGGAAATGGCTTAGTGACTCTAATCTATAATAGAGGTGACACATGCTGTTCACAGAGGACTACACTGGGCATGGGTCAATAAAATTTAGCACTGCAGCCATTGCTGGACGTTGTCTGATAATTGTTTAATTGTGATTCCTTGTTGTAGTGTTTGGCTATGAGGAAATACTGTAAGACGGTACTGATGGAGGAGTTGATTGCTAAGTATCTTCCAGAGGAACTCACTGAAAGAAGAAAAGTTTATGAAGAGGAAATTGCAGAGCTTTCCAAGTATGTGAGCATTTCATTTAAATGCAAGCCTTTGACATGAGTTTTGCTAGCTACTGAATAGTTCCCATTGCCATGGAACGTGCCATAAGGGATCATGAAGGATCTTACTCTGTTTCCCTTTGGTCAGAGGGCATTTCAGAAAGTTTAAACCTACTGTGTATTTGGCAGTAGGGTGTCTAAACCCTCCACTTGGCTGCAGGTGATAATTGAAAACAAGAGGAAACTTAAGGCCATAATTCTCAGCGTGTTGTAGTGACACTGACTTCTGTTGACTTTTGATGCAGATCAGAAGGTTGAGTGGGTAGAAATGAAATTTTGCGCAAGAGACTCATTGGAACATGTGAATTGGGAACCTGTGTGTAGGGTAGCAGGAGTCTTAAGGAAAATACAGGCTATAGGTATAAGACTCCTTCCTACAAAGCAAGAAAGAGTAAGTTTAAATGTACCCTTCCCACACAAATCATAATTCTACAAATTACAGCGCAATATCAATGTCCAATATATCAGGCTAAGTAGAAAACCAAGCAAAATAGTTAATAGCCTTTATATAGAGTAGAAATCTTGATTTCCTTTTGAGGTGGTTTTTTTTTTTTTTGTTTCTTTCTAAATTCTCCCACCAAAGCCAGTTAAGGTAACTTAAGCAATCCTGGTATTGAATAAATTAGGTTTGTACATTGTACTTCTCTGTTTTTAGAAACTGATTCATGCTATGCTAATATAACAGGGTGCTGTTTCTTCCCTCTCTTACAGTTTAAATAAGAATGTTCCTATATTTGTCTGCACAATGGCCTATCCTACCGTCCCGTGCCCTCTGCACATCTTTGAGCCCTGTTATAGACTAATGATTCGAAGGTGCATGGAAACTGGCACCAAACAGTTTGGCATGTGCATCGGGGATCCTGTCAAGGGGTGAGTGAGCAGAATGCCCTGCCAGTCGGAAACTGCCCCTCTCCACTGGATCCAGTAGTCCTTTTCTATCGACAGCCCCTCTGATCAGCCGTTTCAGAGGAATGTGAAACTTAAAACATAAGAACAATTATATAATAATCTGCCAATGGGCAAAGTTTCTCAAACCCATCAGTTAATGGTGAACTGGCTTTTTCTGAAGCATGAAGATTTAATATCTGTTATCCTGTCCAATGTAACTGTCAATATTATTCATTTTAAGTGTTTAATTCTGTCTTTTGAAATTTAGTCAGCTGTTGGACTCTGTGATACTATGGGAAAGTACCTTCCGGACTTCTTTACTGGGCAGTGCATGAAAGTTTCTTCTTGTTAAAATTTTATGTGGTTTTTAGTTGGTGTTTTTTGATACCAGCAACTGAATTGGATTGATAAGGGTTTTTTACACTGAAAACAAAGTGTCCGTATCAAGTCAGATTTACACATTCACTCTCAAAATAAAATGTCTGCTAAATAGATATATTGGCTCCATACTGAATTGGCTGAGCATCTGTGCTATGCCTTTTTACAGCAAGTACTCAAAGCTGCCCATCTTATACACACTCCTTTGCAGCAGCCCCCCCACCTCCAATCTATTTTGACAACTTGCCTGCTCCATCAGTCTGCATTGCATGCTCGATACAAAGTGAAGTTTACTACGACTTAGTAAATTTAGCTTCTGTAGTCCTTATTGTAATTAACTGTACTGGCTCTAGACTCCTGCTGAATGTATGCATCTAAATTGCAGAACTTGAATAGGAAGCAAGTTGTCCATCCAGAGCAGCTGAAGCAGTACAGTTTGTAGTTACATTAGAAATGTGATTTGTACAAGGAATTCTGTGTTCTAAAATACAAGGTTAGAAATGTTCATCTGGTCAATTGCTTGAAGATGTAGTTTTAAAAGCAAGTGTTGTGTATATATAATGTGAGGTTAAGTAATAAAGAGTAATGTAAAAACAGTGAACTGACACTAGCAAGGCCTTTATACTATGAAGTGGCTGTACAGTAGAGATGCAGAACTAAGTCTGAAAAGAATAGGTTTATTTACTTGCTCCTGTTATGATTAAATAGCTTTGCAGATTACGGCTGTATTCTGGAGATAAGAAGCGTTGAATTCTTCGCTGATGGACGCTCTGTTGTAGACAGCATTGGCAAGAGAAGGTTTAAGGTGATACAGCACAGCCAGCGTGACGGATATAATACAGCAGATATTGAGTACATTGAGGATCAAAAGGTGAGTACAGCAGCAAAATTGTGGCTGAAACCCTTTCAAGGACAGAATATTTTGTTTCATAACATGCACAAAATAACCCAGTACATGCCAGATGGCAAGCAAAACCACAGTATGTATCTGGATGAGCTTTTATGGCGTCTTCTGGAGGGTGCTTTAGGTCTGTGTTTATAACAATGATCAGATCAAGCCTGCTTCCACTGAAGTGAGGGCGCTGGCAGAAGTGACATTTGTTATGCGATCGGCGCCCTGAAAGCACTCTACAGCCATGCTGAGACGGAAGTGAAAGGGCTGCAGAGCACTTTCAGAATAGCTGATCGCGCAACAAAGTAACCCTCATCTAATGAAGGTTCAGATGAAGGCATTCCAAAGCAGAGTGTGTTTAGGGAACTTCTGCTCCCTAGGGTCTGTTTGTCAGTGAGATCGGGGCTGGGCTGCAACCCCCCCTCACTGCACTGTCTGCAGGAAGGGAGGGGGAGTGAGCTATGGGCTGAGCTGAGGATGGGGGGGTGTGGATTGGAGGTCCCATCCTGCCCCCTCTCCTTCAGTTCAGGCTGGGCAAATTCCAACCTGCAGCTCCCCCTTGCCCTCTTCCCGCCCCATGTCCTTTCTCCAGACAGCACTAGAGCTGGTGGGGGACAGACAGAGTTAGAGTGGGACCTGTGCATCTGTCAGTGGCCTCAATGACAGCTTCAATTCAGGCAATAAGTATGACATGGAGCCCACTGAATTTAAAAGATAGTGTAGCTTCCTCAAGTGTCCTAGGTGCTGTACAAACCTACACTATTCTTCCCCACCCCCCCAAAAAAAGAAAAAGGAAGATGGCATCTATCCCAAAGCACTGTTTAAAGAACGATTACAATGTAAAGAACTTGGGGACCCATGCTTAGATTTCAGTCTATAACTCTAGTAAACAGTGACTGGATTTACTAACCTGGTAAACATTGAATCTGAAAAGGGATTTATTTTAGAATATAAGAAAAACCTGAAGTTAAGTGGGCTGGGGGACTGCTCGATAAAGAATGAACTTTCAGGATTCCCTGAGAAATCTCAAAAGAATTAACAATGTATGTGGCACTTTCTTTGAAAAGGCCAATTGAATTAATTCCAGCTCCCCCTTCTCTGCCAATTTCAGGTGCAAGGACAGGAGTATGCTGAATTACTTGTTTTACATGATTCTGTGTACGAGCAGGCACACACGTGGTTTAACTCGCTCAAGCAAGCACTCAAGAGTCGAATACTCAGTCATTTTGGTCCAATGCCAGCTAAGGATCCTGATCCACAGGTGCATGACTTTGTGCTTAGTCAGAATTAATTACATGTCAGATAACTACCATACACCATAATAAACGGAGAAGAATTTTCTCATTCTTTGGCTATCCAGACCTTCTTCACTTATCTTGTATAAACTGCTGTACCTCAGAATTGTGCTGCTATCAATCACTGCTATAGTAATGCTGAGCAAGTTGGTATTCATATTTTAATAATCCTCTGAACTTCCTGAGAAATACTAAATGTAAAGGAACAAAATAATCCCTTTTGGATTTGGTGGAATGGCACCTACTTAGCACCTGGCTGAATCTGTCCTGGAGTCAGGTGGACAGTAGGAATTGGACAGGGGGGAAAAAAACTGAAGCTACTGTTAAACAGCTACAAAGTGCTGGGGGAGGAGCGGTGTGAACACCTACTTCTAGCAGAAGTTAAATATAAAGACGTAAGCCTATAAAGACATGCATTAAGTTAAAGAAGACCTTATGTACAGATGTATCACTAGAAACAAAAAAAGGTCTGATTTTAAAACACCCCAGTATTAGAAGAAAATTGGAGGGTGGATCTTGGCTTGCGTTTCAAGCCATCTCGTACCCAGAAGCTATTAGGTTGGGCAGGTGGGAGAGGATACCTGGCTATGGAACAGCATGGTTTCTATTGACAGTATTTTAAGTCTGTGAACACATCTCAGTTCCTGCATCATCATTTGTGCTTTTCTTTTCTCTGTTGCAGGCTAACCCTAATGGCCCTGCCTGGTGCTGGTGGGTCCTTGCTGTCCTTCCACTTGAGAACAGAGCTCAGCTTCCATTCCTTGCCATGAAATCCCTAAAAGACCGCTTGAATGGCATCAGACGTGTCCTTATGTTCATGTCTCGTACGAGATCACGGTGATGCCAAGAGAGCTGTGAAACCTCTTGCAATACTTGACTTGACTGTGGAGTGTTTCTTGTATCTATATCTAACTGCAATAATGTCTTACAGATTCACCTGTCAAAGCAGGATACATTTTCATGCCTGAATTTCAAAGGAAATAAAATATAAAGAGCAAAGGATACTTATGGATGCTTCGCTAGTTTCCATTTTGAACTCTTAACTTTCTTGAGATTATTCAGTTATTGTACTGCTAAATTAATAACATAAATGTTATATAGCAGAACAAAAAGTGATCTTGTTTGCCATAAACCTTTCAAAAGTTTAAGAGTGTTTTGTAGTAGATAAACAAAATCTGTGCAGTTTAATGTGAAGCAGAAATAATAATGTTAATGCATTATTTCAGTGAACTGCAAAGTCTTTTATTCCAAATGGTTCAGGTTTTATATAGCATTATGTATAATAATGTTCACAACTTCTGTTTGATAATTTATTTTTGCACTATGATGTCTTTTTTGGTTTTCAAATGTATATTGCAATTATTTATGTGTACATTCTCTGAACAGAAAGTGAGCTGCTCTATTTATTTACAATGTCCTACCCTGTATGTATGACTAAAGAAAAAAATGATTCTAGGAATACACAAGCTACTGCTTCTATCATTTTTTTTTTCAGCATATTTATGTCTGAGCACTTGAACATTTTTCTACTTATCTCTAATGTTACTGTGTTACAAGAGTGTGCCCCCAAAACAAAAGACTTCATGGCAGGCTGTCTGTACAGGTTTTGTCTGAAATAATTTGATTTTAGTTCCAGCAAGACCTTGATCCTAATACCTTAACTTGGCCCCTGTTTTAAATGTGTTGCCAAACTGGAATCTAGGTCAACCAACTTCAGTGGGAGTTGGCGAGAGAGTATTGAAGGATCCAGCCTTTCAATTTGCACAGATATACAGAGCGTGTAATAGCCTACTAAGTGCTGCATTTGTCTGAATTGTTCCTGAAAAATGTGGCTAAACATAAACACTTACTAAGGATGAATCCCAAATGTGAGAAGCAGCCATTTACAAACAGGAACTGCAACTATGGGTGTTGTTTTATTGCAGGTTATTATAGATTCTTTATATTAATCTCCTTACTGTTAAGGCTGTCTTGTTGCATTGTCTAACTAATGTCATGGAGCAGGGGAGGTGTGTTTCTTGGGTTTTTTTGCTGTGTAAGACTCCAGAAGGGCTGGTTCCCTATATTGCACAATAGAGGGAATAATGGTAACAACCTTGCAACTTATTCCACCTCCAGGTTACTCTGTTGACCACAAATCTTTATCCAGGCTTGGCACTTGTTTGTCAGACTGTGAGCAGTTTGAGAGTAAGAATTAAAACTCTGGGGGAAATGGAAAGGGTTTTGAAGTGGTTCTTTTTAATTAGGGGTGCACTGATAGAGAGTTTTTTTTTAGCCAATACAGATGGCTGATTTTTAATGAGCCATATTGACTGATACCAATCCAATTCCAATATGCAGCTCCACCGTGTGGAGAGCAGCTGGGTCTGGCTGGTAAGTTTGTGGTGGTAGGAGAGAAGGGATGTGGAGGGGGAGTAGATCTAGGCCCCCGGGGTGAGGAAGAGAGTGGGGCTGGGGCATAGCTAGGGGCAGGTGCTGCCCCGTTGGGGTAGGGCAGGGCATGGGATGGCCATGGCTTGTCCGCGGGGGCACAGGGCGGGAAGAGTAGGGCGGCTCCTGCTGCTGCACAAAACCTGGAAGGGCAAGGGGGCAAGTACCCCCAGATCTACGGGGGGCTGTGCAGCAGCACCATGGAATAGGAGCTACAGCAAATTTTGGGGTGGCTGCAACCCCTGCTCCCACACTGCTACTATCTGCCCCAAGCATAGCGCAGCTCAGCCCCCCCACCAGGAAGAGTTTGGTGCTGCCCCCAGCCCACCCTTGCCCCATGCACAGATCTGGGGGCCCATGGCCTCCTGCGGTGTGCGCGGCAGGAGCCACCCCACATCTCCTGGACAAGCCACAGCTCCATCCCGTGCTCTGCTTTGCGCTGGCTGGACAGCACCCCTCCCGCTCAATCCTAAAACTTCCTATTATACATTATTTATGTAGAGTTATAAATTGCTGCTCTACAGAATAAGGATAAAACATGGTGCCTATTCTAAAGTCCTTATCATCTAAATTTGGTATTGGATTTTAGCACGGATGATTCCCCAAGGTTACAAATTGTTTCTATTTACCTCAACAGTGAGCACTACCATTTGCCAAAAATAGGCAAGAAAGCAATAATGCATTTTGCCAAGACACTCGCTACCCGGGCACACTCTGCCTCCATCTTCCTGGAAATCTAATTATAAGAGAACCTTTTAGTCTATTTCC